TCCTATAATATTTAAGAATGGTATATCTCAATCATGATTAATTATGATTACAATTAATCATGATTAATTGATATCTAACCAACACTAAATTAATTGACTGGTTTATGGTAAGTCAAGGTTAAGAAGGTTAGGATAAATTGTCCAGTCCATTAGAGAAAAGGTCTTAGTGATGAAACATACTTTTGTATTTCAAACCTAAATTCAATTCAATTCTAAATTGCAGTAACATGTTTTTGATTTCAATCACATGTTGAAAGTACTGCTGCAAACAATCAGATCCATTTTTTTCTTTTTCCTGGATCATGGGGATGTTCTGCATCAGCATGAAGGTCCCCATGATCCTGGACCACTGTTACACCCAAAGCCCTGCAGAAACAGTCGTGGCATGGATCAGTCTTTGGAACAGATCCTCCAGGATTTCACCAAACCAGAGATAGAATGACCGCACTGACCATCTACACCAGGTTCCTCCATACAAACAAAAGAATTTTCAGACACTGACAGTCTGTTTGATCAGAACTTGGGCTGCAGCAGATGAGCCTGACAGGTCTGCAGCCCTGATCAATTAAAGAGGTTCTCCAAACCAAATTTGATCTATTCTTGGTTGTTCAAAAAACATTTCATATCTGGTTTCTTAGAGGTTAATCCTCAATTATTTTTGTTTCATTTTGGCTCAAAAATGAGAAAACCACCGAATGTTGGAGGTGTAACCGCTGGTGCGTTCTGGTGCCACATGCTGCGTCCCCCCGTCACCAGAGCAGACCTTGGACTCATTGGAATCAAATATTGTAATTACATTAAAAACAGTGACAATCGAAGAAGAAAAAAACAATCTTACCGCTTTGCGAGTCTGTGAAGATACTTTAGGATGTAAGGTGGTTCTTTTTTGTAAGAGAAAGAAGGGCCGTTTTGGACTTGGGCAGGTCCGAACTTGAGTCCCCCCCCACCTCGCTGATGATGACGGTGTTGTCTCCACTTGTTGGGAGGAACTGACAGCGCTGTTTTCTCCGGTGCCCTTTTATTTTTTCTCAAAGCATCACGAGAAAACATGTGAGAAGAATTCTCTGTCCGCGTCGGTCTGCGATACAAAAACGTCGAGGGAACCTATGTGGACCGCTGCGTAAAACCGGTGCCAAAACGACTGCGGGCCCGTTCCACTGGAGCGGCGCTGGACAACAATAGTCTGGTCATGTTGGCTCAGACTGAAGCCCCTACGAACAAGTACTACAGTCAGATCGGTTAATCGTAGGCAGCAACACATGTGCAGAGCGGGTCAGTTCTGGTCTGGTGTGTGAGCAGCCACAGACTGTGCCGAGGGCTTGTCACATGTTGGCTCCGGTATTGTCTCTGCGTTCGCTCTTCTTCATCTTCCGCGCAGCAGAAGAAGGAAGAGGAGTGGACTGTGGGGTGGCTGAGCCGTGGTCCAGCCGAGGTCCACCTACACCCAGCCGCCGACGGCTGACGTGTTTATCATCCGCAGGGCTTTCGAACATCAGGTGCGGCAAAAAGGGAGACACCGGCAGCTTTCAGTCACAGCTGGATTTCCTGACGAAGCGCCTTTGTGAGGAGCGGTGGAGTGGGATGTTGCGCGTTCGCGACTTTGACAATGCGCGCTCTCGACAATTCAAATCTGCTTGAAAGAATGGGAGGTTTATAGAAATGAAAATACTACTACACGGTAGTAATACGATTTCACAGCGAGCACGAGTGGCTACGCCTACATTACTGTTGTATTTAGCTATTTTGACTATTACACAGTACAGTACATGATACTCTGCCATATTCTCCACCCACAGTTTAGTATTAGAATAGAGGAGAATAGAATGGAACAGAATAAATGTCTTTATTCTCATTGTAAAACACAGTAACGCAGAGCAACGAAATTAGTCTTAAACAGGAAATTACAGGACATCGTAGAGTACCAAAATAAAATAATGAAATACCAACTGTAATGACTGTAACTGAATAATGCAAAAACAATGTAATTATCAGGATGAGTTTATTAAGGTCCACTGATGAAGCAGTATTAGGATGTGGTGGTGAGGTTGTTTTTTCTTTTCAATCTTTGTTCGTTGTTGCTTTAGGAAATACATTGTTCTTCTATTTCCAGCCACATCTCCTGTCTCTCTGATCGTTTTATTACCTGAGATATCGAGGCAGATGGATGCCTTAATCAAATCAATATTTTGTGTGAGCGGTCTGGGCCTTTAAAACAGCATTAGCGTCATCTTTGAGCACCAGAAAGAACTTGGCATGAACGGTTGTTCCAGACATCTTAGAGGAGTAACCACAGATCTCCTTAAATGTTTCTGTCCTTGACTACGTAACGTAAAGGCTCGAGGCTGAGTAGAGGCCACGCCACGACGTCCAGGGGTCTTTGTTTTTCTCTGCTCTGGTGTTAGCTCATAATGTTGTGTGTGCTGCTGCAGAATTGAGACTCTGATATTTCACTTTCTGTCTGCAACTCTTCTATAAAGACAGCTTTTGAGCAAAACTCTCAGACAGTGGAAGGATGATACCTATAGTTCAAACTGGTGTGAAGTAAAGTTTGATTGTTGTGCTACAGAAGAAAATTACCAGGGATCTCCGATATTGACTTTTCGCCGATATCCGATATGCTGATATTGTCCAAACACTTAATTTCCAATTCCGATAAAGCGGGGCAGTGGTGGCCTGGTGGTGAAGGAAGTTATGTGATGCCTGCTCACGTTAGTGCTGAGTTAAAGCAGTGTTTCTTAATTATTACCATCCTGGGCAACTTGTACTGGTAAATGAAACCACATATTTGTTTTAGTATTTGTAGTTATCTCAGTTGTCTCACATAATTTTTCAAATAATTCCTGATTTCTGTTTTTCCTGCTTGAACCTGTAGTGACACAGTTATGTCACCTGTGACAGAAATCACCCCAGGGCTGCAAACCATATCCTCCAGGTAATAACTGGAGCCCACAGTTTCTCCATGGACGATGTGTGTTAGCCCATACACTTAGTGGTTATTATCGTTTCCCCAGGTTTGTTTTAAACCAGTTTAATTAACAGAGATTCCTAACAAATGCCTTCACTTCCTGCAGCCCTGCAGTTGCACAGCCTTCATCAGGATAGGACTGACCTCTGGATCCTTCAATCCTATTTCACTGGAGTGTGATTCAGTGCTGTAGGTGCCTTAGGACTCACACAGTCATGTGATCATGTTGGTGTGTGTGTGTGTGTGTGTGTGTGTCTGTAAATGTACTCATTCACAGCTCTGACCTTGCCAGTATTTTATTAAGTGTGTAAAGAGTGATGGCACCCTCCTGTGTTTCTCTATCAACTAATAAATGTGCTGAAAGACACACACCTGACGTCAGGGACAGTTAGGAGGTAAGAACAGATCTTTGTACAAACAGGTACTGTAACACAAAAGTGTCTTATGGAAGTTTGTATATATTTATATATAAACTACAGTTTTGACAATATAAACTCCTTTTTATTCTCTTTATTTGCCTACATACATAGCTATGTCCTTTTATTGTTAGAATTCAGAATAAAATATATACCCTTTTGGTACCTCAATCATTGATCACAGTAAAATATTATAGTAATAATTTCTTGAAAAAGTCTTCAAAATTAAAAGTTCATCAAAAATGAATAAAAATGCACTCATTTGCGTTAAAATGCATAGTTATGTTGTTTTCAGTACCTTATAACTTCATCATTGATCACAGTAATATACTGTTGTAATACGTTTCTGAAAAAGTCTTCAAAATTAAAAAGCTATTAGCACTCCCTGCTGTCTATTATATCGCAATCAACTCGGGCACCCGTAGTTTTTCTAGGCCAAATGCTGGATTCTTTTCCTTTTTCTAACAATCTTTTTGATACTTAATCAAACCTCCATCCATTCAGCTATGTCATCTAATCAAAACGGACTTCCTTGACAATACGATTGCTTTGTAAGGTCATTTATGGCTGGACATTCTTTTGGCTGCGTCCCAAACAGGACATGATGGTTTCAGCGATATGACAGGGGAGAGTAGACACAGGGAGACGTGACAAAATGGAGGAAAGGTGAACGCAAAGGACAGAGTTGTCACAGTAGAGGGTAACTGACGGAGTGGGTTCAGAGCAGATGGAGCTGGCTCTGACTCGCCCCTAATCATCCCTTAACCAAGCAGGAGTCTCACTCCTGTCTAAATTCCGTGCGAGGAGCACAGATTGCAGAAAGTGCTTTGGGGCCTGGCTGCGTTCAGACCATCAGAAACTGCTGCCATCCTCCTCAGTGCCTGAGGTCAGGCACAAACCTGACTCATGCCATGTGATTTCTTCTAAGTTTAAATCTCATCAAACAAGACATTCAAACCCCGAAGACACAGAAATCTAAAAAGCCCAGTCGTTCCTTATGATTTGAACAAAAGGCACAGTTTTGTGTTTGGTGGACTGAAGGGACGTCTTCAGTCCATGTCATGTCAAGTCAACCGACATCTAAATCTCTTATGTCTATTTGGACAGGAAAGACTCTCAAAGTCAAACATCAAGATGGTTTGAGACAGTTCTCACCCCCAGCCTTCCTGTTCTTCTCCACCTTCAGGACTGTTGAGTTGATGTCAGCGTTGAGTTAAGAGTGACTGAGTTGCCCAGACACCAAGGTCTTCTAAAGGTAGGACAAGACTCAGGGACTTTTTTTTTTTTAATTTGGTGTTAAACTCTGCTCCCATGAGCAAAACTCAGCTCCATGAAGAGGCCTGACGTTAGGAAAAATATTGTAAATCATTGACATTTTTATTTGTGTCATAAATACTTTCAAATTTGTGCTATAAATGTTTTTTTGTCATATATATTTTTATGTGCATGTATATATATATATATATATGTATATATATATATATATATGGGCCATTCTCATGTAATCATGCAGTACACCAAGGCTGTAATGATTTTGTTAATAAAACTTTTTACTCAATTTTACTCTGCATTAAAATGTGTAAAAAAAAAATAGGCTACGAAGCTCATTGTCTCTCTATCAAAGAAAAAGTTCTAAGAGACTAAACCAAGTAAAAAGAAAAAAAGAATGTGAATGTCAGCGGTCGACTGTAGGGGCGCGCTGTTGTAGGAAGGTTTGTATAACGGAAATAGGAATACGTTGTACAGCCCGTATTTCCGGTTGCGGATCCTGAGGATTAGATACGAGTGTTATCCGTTTGGGCTTCTAGCGGGCGTTCAAATAAAGAAACTGGGAACGGTGGCTACATGTGATTGATTGGAAAGGTGGGTTTTTGAAAACAGTTGTCGGTTGTATTTTGTTTGAAGTGGTAGTTGTTCGGTCGAGACCGTTAGTGCAATTTATCCTAGCATATGCGTCTCGGCAGCTAACGTTATTGGCAGCTAATGCTATTGTCTTAACAGCAATGGAGGAGAAGACTTGTGGACACAGCATCTTGGACTCCGCCAGGTGGAGTGAAGGAGCACCGTTATTTGAAGCAGATCACTTGTTTGTTGGACTTGTGAGTATTTTACTGAAATGTGTAATTGCTTGAGGAAAGTGTTACTTAGCTCGTCCCATTCATTGTGCCTTAATGCTGTTGTCAGATACTTAATGAAGTAACTTTTTTTGCCTTTTCACTTTCATTGTGCCTTAATGCTGTTGTCAGATGCTTAACAGTCACTTTCTAGCAACACCTGTAAACCTTCCTGAACAAACCTCTTCTACAGGTAAAAAATCATTGTGCTTTAATGCTGTTGGAAAATAGTCACTTTCATTGTGAAGTGTATTTGATTGTTGTAAACCTTTCAGAATAAAGAAAATTGTTGGAATATTGTGTGTGATCTGCATTCTATTCCAGAAATTGGGCAAAAAATGCAAAATATGAATGGGAGTTCTCATTGCCCTTTAGGGCGTGCATTGTCAAGGGTATGGTATCGGTAAAGAAAAAAAATTTTTTTTGAGTATTTGTATAAGCACAGTATAAATTTGTGCTAAAAACTGAAAAAAAAATGTACCTGAATATTTCAAACTGTTGTCTTCTTGTTACGTCCTGTCTTTTCAGAGAGCGATGTCGGACAACACTTGTAACTGCTGTCCTTGTTTCCACTTGGCGCTGCGACAACCGGCATGTGCTCGTCTGTATGGCTGATTCCTTAAATCTGAGAAAGACATAGAGAAACACAGAATATATATATATACATGTATATTTATATAATCTTGCAATTCTGTTATTGTCCACTACAGCTGGTAAAAAAACAAATGTAGTGAGTTAATGAGCAACATTATCACGCTTTAATGAGGCCCTTGTCTGTTTAAATGTTAGTACTTTTTTTCAAATTTCTTATGATAACCATTGACTAGTTTCACCCAGCAGTAAAAGTTCCTTGCATGCTGCATATCAGAACAGCCCAGGGGTCAAGCACTCTGACAGTGGTACCAGGCTTCAAATTGAAATGCATTAGAAAAAACACCTGGTACCAGGTGTTACCAGGTGAGGGTTTTCAATTTTTATAGCTGAATACACCTTTAAAACCCCACCAAAAAAAAGTCCCCAAAATGCCTTAAA